CTTAAAACTCACCAGCTGTTCCTGCTCCCTTTTATATGTGCCTCTTATTTACCCCCTATCCAAACCCTGCCAAGATTTTCTGTTTTTTGGGGGGGTTGCTGGGGATGGAACCAGGGCTTTGTTATGAGCGCAGGGACGGATGGCATCCTCGATGACCAGCAGCAGACACAGCTCAGTCGCTCCTCAGGGAGCCCTGTGTGTACCCACCAAGGCAGCTATGGAGGAGGGCAGCTCCGCCCACCACAGAGCACACACCAAGACTCCCTCCCCAAGGGCAATCTGCTTGCCACAGTGCCTGGACCTCACCGTTCAGCTTGGCAATGGCTCACAGAACACGAGAACTGGTCCCCAGCACTGGAGAGCTGTCCTGTGACTCTGACCTCACAGGGCAGCTGCACAGGAAGTGGACACACTAAGTGTTTACTTGGACAGCAAATTCACTCAACAGTTTGCACCAAGAGTCTCTCTAGCATTTTACTGTCTTGTAGGCACTTTGGGATGGGTGACATACAAGGAGTGAAAACCCAAAATGGCCATAAATGCCCAGAGTCTGACAGGCAGGTTAAGTCTACAACTGTAGCTGGTACCAGTGTCGATCCAACATGAAGTCAGAAGATGGAGTCACTGGTTGTTTGAGGGCAAGGACCTGCACTACATCACCTCTCGCTGTGATCTGACAAGTTATCCTAGCATGAGGCACAGCTGCCCCCATACGAAGGATGAAGAAACTGAGACTTCCACAGCCACGGGCAGAAGTCTTTGGGGAGCCACACCCCATCCCCTTGGCCCACTTCAGGGGGACAGGTGCACGACCCAGCATCACTTCAAGTGTACCCCACTTCATTCTCCAGGACTCTTCTTTTGGGGGGAGCGTTACTGGGGTTGGAATAGGTTTTCTCCCTTTTTCTGTCTGTATGTGGGTTTTGGATGTGTCGTGGTACCAGATGCACGATGGGAACAGACAATTCTGTAAGCCTCATGGTATGGAGATGCCGTTATAACAAAGCAGAGGACAGTCAGCAGTTGTCTGTCCGCCATGTTGGTCCCAGCCTGTTTGGGGTTTTCTTGCTCTTTACTGTTTGAGCGTCCATGACACCCTGCTATAATATAGCTTCGTGGCTGCACCAGCCTCTAAGTGCTGTGTGGTCTGCCTCTTTTCCCAGTTCCTACCTGAGGATGCCTAAGACTACTAATGCAAATGGAGCATTCATTCGTGCAGAATTCACTCATCAAACGTCACTGAGCCCTAACCCCAAGGCATTATCACTCACAGCAGGAAGCCTTCCCCGTGATAGAGGCCTCATCCTGGTGGGGAGTCCAGCACACTCTGTGGAGCTGTAGCTGCAATGGTCCCTGCAGACGGGCTCCGCGGACTCCAGGGGTGGTTTCATGCTAGTCAAAACATCTCTTGCTGCGCCCCTCTGATTTCTAGGAGGAGTACTCCAGGAGCAGATGCTGCGTGGGAAAATGAGGTGCTGACACAGGACACGGGGAGCGCCGCCCGGGCCCTGGAGAGCTGACTGATCGTGCACGGAGGACCGATCACCAGTCACCACTGGCCAACCCCAAGAACAAACCCTCCTCTCCCTCTGCCCCTCGCACTGCACAGAAAGCAGCTAATGCCTCTGCAAAATGCCAATGACACAGGACTGCTCGGTGGACGACTGCAAGTGTTCAACCATTTCAGGGTGTCAGGGACTGTTAGTCTCCTCATTCTGCAAACAGGTCAGGTCTCTTTCTCTCACACAAAGGGACAAGGCAGATGCCTCCCAAACACTTGCGTATGAAGATGCTGCTACAGAGAAAATGTGTACTCCCCCAAATTCCTACACCCCACATCCCAGTGTGAGGTGTTAGGAGTGGGGGTCTTAGGGAAGTAGTTGGGATTTGATGAGGCCCTCAGGAACAGGACTGACACCCCTAACAGAGAGTCAGGAGAAGGTCTGTTTTGTTCCTCATCTTTCTGCCACATGAGGACACACAAGTCTGCAGTGTGCAGCCTAGGACAGCGTCCTCTCCAGAACCTGTGCAAGCAGGCACCTGATCCGGGACCTCCAGCTGGAGCCGCAGGGAGCACATGTGTGTGTGGAGGCCGTGGCCAGTGGTGCTGTTACAGCAGCCTAAGCGTCCAAGACAGGCGCTCAGCCCGGGAGCAGCCTCACCCCTCACCTGATGTCACCTCTCACCTGACGTCTGTCCATTCCAGAGGATGCACAGGGTCATGAGCTTAACTGGGTGCCTGTCAACACGAGAAATTCATTCCTCACAGGTATGGAGACCACGAGTCCCAGATGATGGTGCCAGCAGAGTTGGGTCTGGTGAGGGGCTGTTTCCCGGATTCTCTACACGGGTCCTCGCTTAGTAGAAGTGGCCAGGAGCTCCCTGGGGTCTCTTATAAATGCACTGACCCCGTCCATCCCACTCTCCGCCCTTCTGACCTAATCACCTTCCAAACTGCCCCACCTCCTACACCTTCGCCCTAAATGGTAGGAATTTCAACACATGAATCTGGGGAGGAGGCACAAATACTCACGCCTTAGCAGCTCAATACATATTTCGTTTGCCGTTTTAATGTTCCCCACAGGGATGTAGATAGATAGTAACTGTTTCTCATTTAGCCAAGGGTCTGTCCCAGCCAGTGAAATCCCCCCAGCTTCTTATAAACTGGAAGAACGGTTCTTTCAGTCACGAACTTCTCCTTTGACCAATGTCTCTAAATGAACTCAGACTTACAGCAGTTTGAAAACCTCCCCGACGATAAATTATGTTTGGTCCAAAACACTCAATGGGGTTGTACTTCTCTGAAAGCAAATTTGTTTTTGTGATGCCTTTGAAAACAGCACGAGGCCAAATTTCTAATGCCAAAGAGCCCTTTCTGAGAGTTTCAAAGCAAGCTTCCAGATGTTAATTACACGTCAAGGATGTATTTTTAAACAGCACCTGTACATCAGCATTGTCATTATTATTATCACGGTACTGGGGTTTGAACTCGGGGCCTCACACTTGCTAGGCAGGCACTCTACCACTTGAGCCACATCTCCAGCCCTTTTCTGCTTTATTTTTCAGACAGGGTCTCGCATTTTAGCCCAGCTGGCCTCGGACCTCCATCGTCCTACCTACACCTCCAGCACAGTCAGGGTCACAGGCCTGTATGACACCTGACTTATTGGGATGGGGTCTCCATAACTTTTTGCCTGGGCTGACCCTGAAACAAGAGCCTCATAATCTTTGCCTCCTGAGAGCTGGGATTATAGCCATGGGCTACCATACCCTGAAAACACCCATATTTTTAATATGAGAGATTAGAGGAGAGAAATCAGGGGATTTAGGTCCGTGCACTGAGCCTAGATTGCAGCAATTTAAATAGTAAATAATAATACCAAAAATAAAAACTTTCCAACTTGGGGCCTCATCAAAATAAACCCAGGCTGTTACCTGGTAGCTTCCATTTTTCCTTTGCTTCAATACATTATACTGATAACATTCTCGATAGAAATGTCTTTTATTGTAGAGCCTGAAACATGATATTCCAAAAACATTCTCGGGGTTTCGGGTAGGAAGATAAGTCCATGTCACATTTAGAACAGGGCTTTGCAAGTTATTTCTGTTTGTGTAACGATTACCCAAAGGCTACTTCAGAGGCAAAGATCCAAAGCAACAGCTGGCAAGCAAATTTTGCTTAGGACTGGACACTTTTCTTACCTGAGATTCCTTACACTCTTGTTAAAATCAGCCAGGCATGGGGCAGATGGTGGTGGGTGCAGTGGCTATGTATGGTTTTAATTTTGAGGTCTGCAAGAAAGACTCAAAATGCCCTTGGGGTGCCTCTTCTCTTCAGGGTGCCTGAAAGCTTTGTCCTCTTCAGTTTGTCTGTATGTAAACAGCGAGCTGCTCAGAGTTCCTGTGATTTCTGAGATTCCAGAATCTCAGATTGCCATTTTTGGAAGTTTATTTTTTGAATTATTCTCCATTTGCCGCCATGCAGGCTCAGGTACACTGGCCTGAATCGGCCTTCTCTCCTGCGGTCCGTCTAGCGAGTGACAGTTAACGAACGCCTGCGGGACTGCCTTGCGATGGCAAGCATCCGAGCAAGCAGAGGCCGCGCGGGCTCGGGGACAGCCTCCATGCCACCGTCCGAGGGGGAGAGGCCTATGGCTCCCAGCCCCTGAGCAGGGGTGTTCCCTGACTTCGTCCCCTGCACAAATCCAGTGTCTCACCCTGAGGGTCAGCGCCCGCGCCTGACCGCTCCGCGAGCCCAGAGCGCGAACCCGCAGAGGGGCAGGAGAGCGGGGACCGGGGCCGTGCTGGGCACGTGAAGGGACAAGTTTCCTTTGTCAGCTTTGCCCACGTGGCGCCATGGCGGTCACCGCCGGGAGTTAACTCCGGCAGCCCTGGCCGAGCGCCGAGCGCGGAACTGGGGGCTGCCGGGGGGGGGAGCCCCGAAAGGCGCCGGCCCCGGGGCGAGGGCGCGGGGCGCCGGGCCCCGGAGGTGGGGGACGCAGCGGGCGGAGCGGCCGGGGGGTGGCGCTCGGGGTCGGAGGCCGCGCGTTGGGCGGAGCTGCGAGGAGAGCGCGGATGGGGCGGGGCTCCTGGTGGAGGCGGGGCTCCAGAACAGGGGGCGGGGCGAGGCGCCGGGAGGCGGGGCTTCGGGGTAGTGGGCGGGGCTCCTGGTGGAGGCGGGGAGAGGGCGGGGCCCGGGACGGGGGTGGGGGGACGGTTCGGGGTAGCGGGGATAGTGGGCGGGGCTCGTGGTGGAGGCGGGGCTCCGGGGTAGCGGGCGGGGCTCGTGGTGGAGGCGGGCACTGAGGAAAAGAGCTCCCGGCTGGGGCCGGGGGAGGTCGGGGCGGGGGAGGAGGCGCTCCACACCCGAGGGAGGCGGAACTCTAGTGCGGGGGGCGGGACGATGGGGGGGTGCGGGGCCCGGGGAGGGCGGGGCCGGGGGAGGCGGCGCTCCGGGACCGGGAGGCGGCGCTCCGGGCCGGCGGGCGGGCGGGCCGGGCATGGCGTCCATGGCGGCGGCGATCGCGGCCTCGCGCTCGGCGGTCATGAGCGGGAACCGGCCACTGGACGACCGGGAGCGCAAACGCTTCACCTACTTCTCGTCGCTGAGCCCCATGGCCAGGAAGATCATGCAGGACAAGGAGAAGATCCGCGAGAAGTACGGGCCCGAGTGGGCGCGGCTGCCGCCCGCGCAGCAGGACGAGATCATCGACCGCTGCCTGGTGGGGCCGCGCGCCCTGGCCGCCGACGCGGGGGACGCGGGGGGCGCGGGGGACCCCGCGCGCTTCCCGGGCCTGCGCGGGCCCACGGGCCAGAAGCTGGTGCGCTTCGGCGACGAGGTGGGTGCGGCGGGGCGCGGACCGGGAGGCCTCGCGGGGAGTCAGAAATCCCCGGGAGAAAGGGCTCGAAAAATCTCGGATCGGAACGGGCGGACCAAAGCGGGGACAGCAGTCCGATCTGATCCATCTCTGCCCCTTAGCAGTTAGCTGTGTGGCCCTGGGTGAATTCACGATGTAGAGCCTCAGTTTCCCCGGTGTGAAACGGGGACCATGCCCATCCTTGCCTGCCCTTAACACACTCTGCAGCCTTGATATTTGGGTCGAGCTCAGTGGGGAAAGTGGACCTGCCAGACAGGAGGAGGAGGTGCCTTCCAGGATGACAGGGACACCCACCCCCCTTGATGTTTCCTGGTGAGTATACTACAAAAGCTTGTTTTGGTGAGGAACTTGGTGAATCATGGTTTTCTACCAAACAAGACAGGGAGGACAACTTCAAGTGCACTCAGAGAAGCATTGTCTGCTTATGAGGCCGTATCTAAGTCTGGAGTCCAGACTTCCAGAGGCACCTCCAGAAGAAACAGAAGCTGCAGGCAACAGCCTAGGAGGGACCGCCCCCAGTGACACAGGCCCCAGCAGGATCTGTGCTGCTCAGAAACTTGGTCTTTTTCTTGGAAGTGGTTTCCTTGAAGCACTTTGTGTCAGTAGAGTATGCACTGTGGCTGTTGGGCTTTTCCAGATCCAACTTTGCCATGAGGGGCAAAGTCAGAACAAGAAAATGTGAAAGTGAAGTCCATTGGCAGTCAGGCTGTTTCCAAGGAAGGAGGGGCTGGTGGGCATCTCCAGGAAGTTGTGCACTGTGGAAGGAATTCCAGTTAAGAATGAAGTTTAAATCAGATTTTCAGGCTGGGTACAGGGAGACATTTATTGGTACAGAATGTGATCACAAACCTGCTTTAATGTCAGGGAGGTGTGAAAGGCAGGACTGTGCTGCCAACATTGCCTTATTCTCAAGGAATTAAAAGCAAATTCTCAATTGAACTTCAAACTCTGGGGGCTTTGCCAGGAAAAACAAGGGCGTGGTAAGAGATGAAAATATAGGTCTTAAAAATGCATTCCAGTTGACACATTTCATTCTGGGAATGTGCGTCTCTGTAAAGACATGTGTACAGTGTTTGTGTCACAGTGAAGAAGGCAGCGTCTCTCAGATTCTCAGAAGAGCCATGGATAAGAAAATAGGAGGAGAAACAAATCTTATAGATCTTACAGATGCCAGAGAGTGGCTGGTGACATGTCTGTGCATCACCAAAAAGCCAGGCCAGGTTGGACTCAGGATCACTGATAGGACAGATGTGGTTAGGTTTTTACTTGTAATTCCTCATCTGGAGCCAGACTGAGCTGTTTCTGGATTTGCAGACCTATTGTGATTTGAAACCAAATGGAGCTGTGTGCTACGGTATCTGGGTGCCCTCACCCAGCCTGTCTTTCAGTGAACTTTGCAAAATGGACTTTGAGCCTGCCAACCTCAGCCCAGGTGGCAAAGGCATAGGTAGCCTGGAGTCTTAGGAGAGTCCACAGGGATGTCGTCCAGGGTGCACTTCTGCCCACAGTGGCTGTGTTGTTCAGTGGCACTAGGGCATTTTGAACCAGTCTGAGTGAGAGCTTGGCACCAAAGTGGAGATGGTCTCATTGTTTCCCCCAGCAGATAGTTCATGGAGGAGGCTGGCTCCAATAAAGACAAGGTGGGAGGTGACCATCGGCTAGGCTACTAAGCAGTCAGACCCCAATAGGTGGCCCCAGGTTGAATGAAAAGACTCTGATTAGTCTGAGAGGCACCCTGCTCCTTCCCACCTTATCTGTTTGCACATTTCCTCCAGAGCCTCCTTTCTGCTGCCCTGAAGGATGTGGCCTGTTTCTTTGAATACCTTCCTCTGTGGCCAGTAGGTGTGTGTACGTGTATAGCAACATTATCTAGTCATTTCTGACCGTCATCTAGTCATTTTTATGTGTTGCAGGAACAAACAGAAACCCAATTATTTGATGGCAGTCACAGATTTTGGTGGCTCTGGGAGTGGTCAGGGACCCAGTGGCCCAGGTGCAGCAATGTGTGTGTGTGTGCACCCTGCTCTGTGTCAGACCATAAGACCTGGGGCTGGGCTCAGATCCCCTCTTGCTTTGATGGCTTAACCTGTCCCTTGCAGAGAAGGCCACCGTCTTTAGTGTTGAAAGTGGGAAGGGACCTATCAGTTTTTCTGTTCTTAGCTCCTTGGGAACAACTGAGCTAAGTATTTCTTAGGGCCATTATATCAGAAGCTAGAGGCATCCTGTCATAGTGTGCAGGCTGTATTACTGCATGAACATCTGATCTCCTTGAAAATGTTTGCAAGTGGCTTTGCCCAAGGCTACCAGCCTCTTCCCCATACCCCAACATCACCCCAAACTCTCCTGCGTAGGGCACTGGGGACTGCTGCTGGAAGACAGCTCAGCGGAAGGACAGGAGAGGGCTCAGAGCCCAGGTTCTAGTCCTGGCCACCCCAGCAGAAGGAAAGGAGAGGGTCCAGATCCCAGGTTCTAGTCCTGGCCGCGCCAACAGCAGGGTGCAGTCTTGTAGGGTAATTTCACCCCTGTGAAGGCAGGGTGGACCAGTGGCTCACGAGGCCTGGCATGGGGCAGGCAGACTGGGGACAATTCCCTGAGGGCTGAGGGACCTATTGGCGGACAGGTGCTTTTGATATGGCTTGCTCCGTGCTTCTGCGAGATTCTGGGAATGGCTTATCTTGGGAGGTGACAGGTTTTTGTTTGAGAAGGGGGTCACCCTGTGTGCTTCAGGGGCTTCCTCTTATCAGATAAGGGGGGGAAAACCCCCTGAATTTTCAGGACCATTTTGCTCCAGCTGCCTGTTCCTCACCCCCAACCTTCTTGCCACCAACCCAGCAGGATCTGAGTGCATTGGTGAAAGCTACAGAGTTCTGAGCTCTGTCACATTCATAGCTCAAAGCTTTGTGAAGTTTTGACAAAACTTGTGCAGCCGGTGTGTCTTGTTTGCATGGACCTGCTTGCCTTGTCCCACCTCTCCAGAGGTAGGTGTTGCTGGGCACAGGTGTCAGCCCTTGGGTCTCAGGTACCTCATCTGGATTTTGCAGGCTGTAGAGAACGTGGAGATTTTTGTTTGTTTGTTTGTTTTGGCGGTACTGGGGTTTGAACTCAGGGCTTCACATTTGCTAGGCAGGCACTGTATATCACTTGAACCACTCCTCCAGCCTAGAACATGGAGTTTTAAGGGCATGGAGGCCGACGGTTGTGCCCCTGTTCAGCAGCTTAGCAAAGCAGCTCCTGTCCTCCCCATGCCCCTTCTCCTCCTGCAGGAACCTGGGCCTCGCTGGCTGTCCCTCCTCCTCTCACTTTAGTCTCCTTCTCCAAGGCTGAGTCTTGCTCTCCTGGATTCCCAGACACCTGCTGTACCGCTGTACACTTCTGAAGGCCTGGTGGCTTTCTCACCTCACAGCTGATGGACTGCACAGGCGCAGGTGTGGAGCACCTGTGGGGGTGGGACCCGCAGGGCTGCCTCACCCCCTCCCTTCTGAGGGTCCAGGTTCCTGTGGGCTCGAAGGGCCTGGGTGCTGGCCAGCCTAGGTGTTTCTTATGAAATACACTAATTTATTAGAAAGGTCACATCTGTACAATGTTGCTGAAAGTTTCAAACCACGCAGATGCAGCATCAGTGGGACCTCTCCAGAAGTCTCCTTATGTGTCATGTCGTTGTTGGATTTGAGTTTGGCTGGCACGCAGGACCTGGGGCCCAGGAGGCCCCCTTCCTCCTCCCCTCTCCTTCCTCTGGCACTTGGGCAGCTCAGACTTTTTTCTCCTCAGCTGTTGGTAAGATAAAACAAAACAAAAGTTATTTTTTCAGTATTTTAGCCTTGTCTTGTTTTTTAGGGAAGGGGAATGTAGGACTTAGGACTCCCTCTTGGCTGGCATACCTATGTATGTTATAGAAGTGACTTCTCCTGGCCTCTGCCTGGGCAGCTGGGCAGGTGCTGTCCAGGGGAGGCCCTGGACCTGCCGCAAGAGTTCCCCTTTGCAGATTGGTGGTCTCCACCCGTAGCACCTGGCCAGCTGCCTGGGAGCTGAGGCAGGGACGGGGCCTCTGGTCCAGGGCTCCTCCTCTACTGGCTTCCATGGGCGGCGGCTCCGTGGCAGCCTGGAAACAGGTTTTGCAAAGAGACACAATGACTCGTTCAGCAAGGTCCTATAGGGAGGACCTGCAGGAAGTGGAGTGTCAACAGATTTGGGGTCATCTTTTGATTGACAGGAATCACTTCATAGTCTAAACAACAGGTTCTCACAGTACCAGGGAAAACAGCCATTTCTCCAAGATAAATAAGAAGCAAAGGAGTGACTGCAGGCCAGGCCCAGGAGTGTGAGTGTGGCCCTCCTGCTCACCTGCTGTTCCCATTAGCACGGGGGTGGCACTGGTTTGGCTTTGCTGGGGTCGGTGGAAGCCTGCATTCTTGAGTTTGCATCCTGGGTGGGATGTGCCACCAGTTAAGTCAGAAGTGCTTTCTGCCTTTGGAACTTCAGTTATGAGCCCTTATCTCAGCAGAGATAAATATACCCCAAGCCAAAGGGAACAGCGCCAGTTCCACAAATATGTAAATAGTTGCTTTGAGCAGGCAGTGGATAAAAAAAAAAAGTATATTTTAATCATTCTTCTTTACCCCTCTTCTAATAGAGTTAATTTTTTAGAGCAGTTTTAGATCCTAATTAAAGTTGCATAGGAAGTACAGAGTTCCCATATATAACCCTGGCCCCATGTGCACAGCCTCAATCACCGCTCACGTCCTCACCAACGCAACGCAGATCTCACCGTCAATCCACCCAGCACCCCCCATCCCTTCATCACTCACACTCTCACCAACTCCCGGTCCAGCCACGCCGTCCGCAGCACCGTCACAACCCTCCACGATCAATCCACCACCGCTCACCCGGCCCCGCCTCCCACCTACCATACTCAAACAAAACCCACATCACAAATACACACCTTCACCACTACTCACTAGCCC